TCAAATAGTAATTAACATTTACATAAGGTGACTTTCCAAATCAGAATTCGTTCTCTTATTTTGGATTCACCTTTTTTTTTTCTTTATGGAATGTTTAAACATCACATGTATGCAAGAAAGATCAGTTTAGTGATACCTGGAGTTCTTTATAACAGGGATCTTTACCCAGTGCACAGATCAAGCAAGGCAGTGCAAATGAAAAGTGTAACTGAAATAGCAGTTGTACTCTGCACTGGAGTTATAAAGACCATGTAAACAATATGGTTGAAAAAAATATGTTGTACTAATGTATATGCACAAATGCATGTACTAATACGTAACTAGTACAGTGTACTAATTGCCACAGATTTTTACTGAAATGGACTTTAAGCAGTGCATATGTGTACCTTTACATTACAGATTTGGTGGTCTGGTTTTTTTTTTCATAGAAAGAAGGACATAACCTTTGTGTTGGTAGACAAGCCCCTAATTTAAAATCATGGTCATCCTGAGGGAACAAGTTCCTACCACTAGGACAGGTTAGCTGAAGAAGGGGCCTGAACACATTAGATGATATAGTTTATTAATTAACAGATTTAGAATTGTTTCAAACATGTATTCAGATAGCTCATGTGAAGCTTTTCTCTGCTTCCTTAAAGATCCTGTATTTTCTTCTCATGATGGCACTTTCCCACACTTGTCAAGTCCCTTCACAAGCTTTGATGAGATGAATAATCCAATTTCTCTGTAAGGCACTTATCAAATCATGATTCTTGTTAAGGCTACCTTCTTTTTTTCCTAATGTTCTCTGTTGTCTAGTAATTATTTTGCTGAAGCCATTGTAAGGGAGATTTTACTCTTTCTGGATAAATCCAGCTCAGTAATTGCTGTTCTCTAGCCTTAAGTGCTAATTCCCAAACTGTTATAGTAGCTGCTATAAAAGCACTGTTAAAAATTTTCGTTGTATGACTCAAGTTTTACGCTGTGAACATTTGTACCTAATGGACAAGAATATATGGTAAAATATCCAGTGATTTTGTGAACAAAATAAAATATCCTAAATATGAAGGAAAACAGATCTTTAAAAATACAATGAATCTGAACATTGTGTTTCAGTTTATGCCTTTGTGAATGTAGTACCAAAGCAATTCACACAGTCTCTTTCTGTGTCTATTCTATAGGTTATATCTGCTAAGTCAATCATGAAAAACTGGTTTCCCATACAAACAAGTACAGCAGTCATTTTAGTAGAAGAGACAGTATCGCAAGAAAACATGTATCTGATGGGCTCTTTTGAGCTTGCTCTTGGCCACAGAATTCAGGTAAGTAATAAATGTCTCCATCAGCATTTCAAAGTGGTGTTAGGGTGCCACAGTCAACAGAACATTCTTTCTAGCACTTGGCATGGACTCTTCCAGCTACTGAGATTAGATGATTTTAGGTATTTCATTGCTATAAAATCAAACCAAACAAAAACCCCTACAATACGTTTGTGTAGTTGGTTATATACTAGAAATAAAACAGTTGCAAAGAGCCTGGGTTAAGCTGTGGACATTAACATTCCTGAATCTAGTAAATCATTTAAAACAGCCATTGTACTGAACCAATGCCAATGTAATTAAGTATAAGGACTCTACAAATCACACATTAATTCTTCTTTTTAATTTTCAGCACCACTTTATTAAAAAAAAAATAAAATCCTCAGCACATCTGTTGACATATTTTAAACTTGCTATTTATAAAAGCTTGGGAAACTGCTTGCTTCTGGTTGCCCCATTTCCATTATATACATATTCACATGTGCAATTATAGCAATTTGTCATGGTTTAAACCCAGTCAGGTAACTCGTTCACTCACTTTCCCCCTTCTTTCCCTCCCCCTACTCCCGGAGGGATGGAGAGGAGAATTGAAAAGAATGCAACTCCCACGGGTTGAGATAAGAACAGTTTAGTAACTAAGGTATAACACAAATCACTACTGCTACTACCAATAATAACAATGATAAAGGAAATAACAAGGGAAGAGAATGCATCACCTTACCACCAGCCAACCGATAACTCGCCCCCCCCCCCAACCCGACCAAGCACCGACCCATACCTCCTCCAACCCTGCAGTCTCCCAGCCCTTCCGGCTAACTCCCAGTTACATCCTGGGCATGACGTGCTGTGGTATGGAATACCTCTTTGGCTAGCTTGGGTCAGGTGTCCTGTCTGTGCTTCCTCCCAGCTTCCCCTCCTCCCTGGCAGAGCATGAGCCTCACAAAGTCCTTGACCAAACCAAAACATCATTGTTATCAGCTCTGTTCCTGAGCTGAAAGTCAAAACACTGCATTGCACCAGCTACCAAGAAGGAGAAAAATGACTGCTACTGCTGAACCCAGGACACAATTAAAAACCAGTCTGTAGACTAGTATTAACGGCAAGACAGGTTTTAATTAGATATAGAAATACAGGTATCGTGGGTCTGTAAAATATATTTTTTGGGGTTTACTGCTTTTTGGAGTCATGATCAAACCTGACTTTCAAAGTTACTTGATTTATACAGAAAACAGTGTTTCTGAAAGTAATATGATATCATTGTTTGTAAGAATTGAAACTTATTGTAGATGAACTTTTAATATGTGAAAATGAAAATGCAATAATTCTTGTAAAAAGTGCTTGGGTATTGAAATGTTTGTGGCACCTGGAAATTGCATTGGCATTATTATTCTCTTGCAAATTCTTCCAATTTTATTATCAGAATTTATTTCAACTGTTCAAGTTGAGGAATAAAAAAGTTTAAGAATTAAATTTATTTCTATTTCATAGGATTTTAAACAGAATGAATGCTATTACTTCCAAATAACCAAAAGAGGGGGGAGAAACTCTAAATATTTAACAGTGACGTTCCAAAATCTCTAAGCTCTGGTCTTGGTGGTTTGCGTTGTTGCTGTTGAACCATGTGTGTTCCAATGGGTGTGTGCACTGGTATTGCTCAGGCTCTTACACTCTCAAGCTTAGCCTTAGCTGGGAAACAGGATGTATGTCTAATTCCTAATGCTGAATAGGAAGGGAAGTCCTGTTTTCTATAGGCATCCGGGGGACTACCAGGAGACAAACCCAGACTGAACATTTGAGGGGGATTTACCGTGTATAAATATTTGACTTGATTTGGGGAGGAATAGAAAAATTTGTTGAATTAAAACAAAACCATGCTTAAAATGCATTATAAAGGCACGCCTATTCCTTCATCTGCTTCTTTTAACTATTTTTGTTGTAATAATCCATGTCACTCCTTGATCTGTTTCCATAAAATTATACTGAAATTATCTTTCAAATCATTCAGGCTTCTGTTCCAGAAATCTCAGTGGTTCACGGTCTTTTCTACGGCCAGGTTCTCTTCAGTTCCTGGCCATCTATTGAAGAACTTGGCCAGAACTTCTCCGCAGTTAGCCAACTCAGAATTTTAGGGCATTGAATTGTAGAGCTAATCACTGCCCTTAACAGCGATTCTGAGCCTGACAAGGACTACTGTCAGCATCACTCATGTTCTTTATTCAATGTATCACCCGCACAGCTCTTGTTAGAAAATTGAATTTTACATCTTTAAGCCACTATGTTCAGAATATTAAAGTACTGATGTGTAAATATTTCAGCATGTGAATAAAATGCATTAGGTTTTGATCGGAAACTGTTGAAGATGTTGACACTTCGTTATATTAAAATTCCTGCTTATTGAGGTTGATGGATATACACGCATTTATTGATAATCTAAGCCAATATAGATAGTTTCCCTAAAGTACATTTCAATTTTTTATTTCTATTTTCTATTCTCTATTTTTAGATATTTCTATTTCTAGAGATCTTTTAACTGAAGTGCTATTGTATATCCAGTATTAGTTTTGTCCCAGTTTTATATGTACCACTGTCCTGGGTTCAGCAGTAGCAGTCATTTTTCTCCTTTTAGTAGCTGGTGAAGTGCTGTGTTTTTTACTTTAGTCGGGGAACAACTCTGGTAACACCAATGTTTTCAGTTGTTGCACAGTAATGGTTACTCCAATCAAGGACTTTCTGAGTCTCATGCTCTGCCAGGGAGGAGGAGAAGCCAGGAGCAAGCAAAGACAGGACACCTGACCAAAACTGACCGAAGAGTTATTCATACAACAGCACATCATACCCAGGATAGAAACTGGGGGGAGACACCCTGAAGGCCCAGATCGCTGCTCGGGTTGGGCTGGGTATAGGTCAGCAGGCGGTGAGTGGTTGTATTCTCTTCTCTTGTTATTTCCCTCATCATTATTATTATTGGTGTTAGCAGTAGTGGTTTTCTGTTACACCTTAGTTACTGGACTGTTCTTATGTCAACCCGTAGGAGTTACATTCTTTCCATTCTCCTCCCCATCTCTCTGGAAACGGCGGGAGGAAGAAGGCAGGGAGTGAGTGAGCAGCTACATGGTTCTGAGTTACCGGCTGGGCAATCTTTCTTCTGCATCGGATCAGAGGGACTCTATGTTTGCTATTGCCATCTTAGCTGGCTTTTTGCCTGTCCACATCTCTCTGTGTTGAATTTCATTTTTTTGGCCTGTTGCTCTGTCTATTCATAAAGCTTTTTTTCTGGAATCTTATCATCTTCTGTAACATTTTTTTAGTTTAAGAAACAATCATTGTTCTCTGTAAGATGTTGTTAAGGTAGCTTTGATTTAGGTATTGATACTGTGACCTCTAATGTTCTGTAGTGTATTAGGCACAATTGATTTAACTTCCTAATAGTTTGCAAATACCTTATCCATTAAATATCTCATGGCTATCCATTAAATATCTTATGATTATCCATTGAATGATCATGGTTAAGTAAACAGATTAAATTGTAAAATACTTCAATGGCATGCACTTGGGTTTTTTGGTTTGGGTTGGGTTTATATCTATCTATCTACCTACCTCTATGAATCTTTCTTCCATGGCATCTTTGTAGTTCATTCACATGGAAATGAAGTGTAGTTGTGCTGTGTATACTTAAAACAATTCTAGCAGAACAAAACTCTACTAATGGAATATCTTCTTCTGAAATTTTATGTTCCAGCATGACAAAGAAGTGCTTATTCCCTAGATAAACATCATCCTGTGTAGAGAGCTATTCTCTTTGAACTTGTGTGAGCTGACTAAAGCTTTGTCACAAGTCTCTCTGGAGACAACTGACACTTCAGGCTGCTGGCAGAAGAACCCTTGAGGGGATTTCTGCAATCACTTCAACTGCACCAAAAAAATCAGGTGTTCATAGTTTTCCTTGATGATGGGCTGTGAAAGTTTGAAAAGCAAACAGTTCTGGAAACCTCTTTGGAAGAGAAATGTGGGAGGACTCAAACACTCCTCCCTCCAATAGGAAGCTACCAGCAGCTAATGACCATCTAGAGGACAACATGTGAAGTATGACAACCATCTCTACACTGGAAAATTACTTGGAGCTTCAGTGAAAAATCCTGTAAGGTGAGATTTTGTGTTGCGAATTGGGATTGTACTGTCACTGCAGAAGGAAGTGTGTAGCTGCAGCTGTGCTTTCTGCTAAGAACTTTGGGCAGAAAAAAAAACAGGAAAACAAAAGAAAAAAAGAAGGGGTTTGGAAAACTATTTGTGAAGATTGGTCAGCCCGTATACAAATGTATACAAATGACAGGTCCTGGGTTTTTAAGTGGGGCTGGTTTTGTGCACAAAAGGTAGCTCAGTGTCATCTCTTCAGAAATTTTACATTGTTTTGAAAAAACTGCTGAAAATTGCAATTTTTAATCTTTTTAAAGAAAACTTTATATTTTATATAACTCTGTCAAATCTATTTAAAATTAATTTATGGTCCTACCCCAAATTCATCAAGTATATGTTCATATTTGGTTTTTTGGAAATTACTTCTAAGATTTCTGTTCTTTCTCTCTGCTTCTCTCCCCACAACTTGATCATGAATAGTACAATGATGTCATGTATAAGATAATTTATGTTCTCTGGGAGGCTTCATTGTACAGTAATGACTCAGATTATCCATTGGGGGCCAGATTATCAATCACAATATAAAGGGATATGCTTGAAGAAAGTTATTGGCAGGCTAAACAAATGAACTTTATCATCTAATGCTACTAAACTACTAGAGTACCATTACACATGACTAGCCCTTAATTCTAATTATTAACTTCAGTGTTGGTTAGATGCATGCCAAGCTAAAGTTAACCACAATTTTAGGAGAAAATGCTTAAACCTAGGTCCTAATGTAATGTTAGTTTACCTATGGCTAATATAGTTGCATGTCTGAGGTTACGCAGATTAACGCTAGCTCTTTACAGCCAGCTCTGCTCTAGGAAATTCGTATTGTGATCTGAAGAACAAATACAACAACTCTATGTGTTCCTGCTCTTCTCATGCAAAAATGATTCACGACCACCTTCCATGGAAAGGAAAGATTTTTCCCTTACAATCTACTTCCCTTACAATCTAATTGAAAACTGGGACTTTTCTTCTATCTCTTACTGGGCAGCCTCCTGTCCAACCCACCCAAACTGGGATTGTTGTTTTTGTTACCTTCCTGGAGTGGGTGTTGAAATAAAGATTCTAGCTTCCCTCTGCTCCCATATGTGCTGTACAGAAAATCTTCCCTGACTTTATGCAGAAGGAAAATGAGCAGAACCTCATTTGTTGGAGCCACAAAGAGAATTAGTTTGGATGGAGAAATGTGGAGGAAAGAGATTAGGTGTCAGTAGAGAGGAAAATCCAGATGTAAATAATAGGTAAGGAGGTGATGAACTGAGTGGCTAAGGAAGATTGAAACTGCGCAGAAACACAAGAAAAGACGTGGAGACAGTGTTCTCACGGGAGAATGTATAATTGGTACATGAACTCTGAATAATCCTGAAAGATACAGCAAGGCCATGAGAGGCTCAAGGAAGCTTAAGCAAGCAAGATAAGAGGCTGGAATTCACTGAGTTATGAGAACTGTGGACTGTTGGCAAGCTTTCGAGGTCAAGTTCTCCCACCTGTGCTTAACCAATTATATGTTAGTCACTAAGGGTCTTCAAGACATGTATCCAATCATAATATGCCAAATCACTGTAAGTGCATGTAAGCAATAGTATATAGGAGTTAAGTCTTTGCAATAAACGGCTTTTATCTGATCATATTGATCTCTGACCGGGTCCATATTTTTTCTGCGGCAAAGAGAGACAGAAAAGTAATGATATAAAGCAGATTTTTATGAGGAAATAGAACTGGGAGTATGCCCACCATAAAATTTGATTTTCCTGTGACCAGATGAAAAACAAAGTTTCTTAGATTTCTCTATGTCTGTGTGTGTTAGCAAACTGCTGGGAAGTTCAGTGATTGTCCTGCTGAACTCTGGTTTTCACCAGTGTTAGTGAAAATATGGGATATCTTTCCATAATTGTGCAAAACTGTGAAAGATTCAAAGATTTCAGCACTGCTTATTACTTATATCAGTGACTTAGATCAGGCTACCCAATGGGATTTCTGTTTAGGGTGGATTCACCCCATCACCTAAAATTTTGAAAGCAAATTTGCTTGTAAATACTTTTGAGATATATATATATGCTGGTGGTGTTCCAGACGTTTTCTAATCCTGTAAACACCTCCGTAGTCGGTACTGAGAAAGTACTGTTCTTCAAACAGTGTATCAGTTCCTCCTGAAGTGCCAGAACTTGTTACTGTCTATAGTATATTTTTTGCCACAGTGTTACTGATTTTCCCTTTGGAGAGGACAAAAAGAAAATAAAACTTTTTCAGGGAGATGGGAGCCATCTGCCCTTGTTACGTAGAAGCCAAGGGAATTTCACCACTTGTCTGGTTTTTAACCAGGAACAAATTGTGCTAAGTCAGGCATCTGGACTTGTGCAAAGCATTCGACACTGTCCCACAAGAGATCCTTGTCTCTAAATTGGAGAGACATCAATTTGATGGATGGACCACTCGGTGGATAAAGAACTGGCTGGATGGCCGCACGCAAAGTGTTGTGGTCAATGGCTCAGTGTTCGGCTGGAGACCAGTAACGAGTGGTGTCCCTCAGGGATCGGTGCTGGCAACGGTCTTGTTCAACATCTTTATCGCTGACATGGACAGTGGGATTGAGTGTGCCCTCAGCAAGTTTGCCGATGACACCAAGCTGTGTGGTTCAGTTGATACGCTGGAGGGAAGGAATGCCATCCAGAGGGACCTTGACATGCTTATGAAGTGACCAGCAGGTCAAAGGAGGTGATCCTGCCCCTCTGCTCTGCTCTTGTGAGACCTCACCTGGAGCATTGTGTGCAGTTCTGGTGTCCTCAACATAAAAAGGACATGGAACTTGTTGGAACAAGTCCAGAGGAGGCCACAAGGATGATCAGGGGACTGGAGCACCTCCTGTATGAAAATAGCCTGAGAAAGTTGGGGCTGTTCAGCCTGGAGAAGAGAAGGCTGCATGGAGACCTCACAGCAGCCCCCCAGTATCTGAAGGGGGCCTATAGGGATGCTGGGGAGGGACTCTTCATTAGGGACTGTAGTGATAGGACAAGGGGTAACGGGTTAAAACTTAACCCGGGGAAGTTTAGATTGGATCTAAGGAAGAAGTTCTTTACTGTAAGGGTGGTGAGGCACTGGAATGGGTTGCCCAAGGAAGTTGTGAATGCTCCACCCCTGGCAGTGTTGAAGACAAGGTTGGACGAAGCCTTGGGTGAGATGGTTTAGCGTGAGGTGTCCCTGCCCATGGCAGGGGGGTTGGAACTTAAGGTCTTAAGGTCCTTTACAACCCTAACTGTTCTATGGTTCTATGAAATGCCAGTGTTTCTGATTCATAAAGTTTTCTGAAAGTTGAGTGGTTATCTGGTGTCCCATATTACTTTGGAAAATAAGTTCAGTGTATCTTTCCAAAGAAACCATATGGGTGTTTTAGCTGATGTGATGTGAATCAAAAAGAAACATTTGGGCAGCCCCCTTTAAAGGTTGTATGTATGAATTAATGTGGAGGTATTACTGCTAATTCCTTAAGCTGGTCAAGAATGGAATTTTACTTGACCTGGGTATTTTAGAGAATAGAAGGACAAAGTAGTTTGCTCAGCATCAGACAGCACAGCCAGGAGAAACCTGGTTTTCTGGTTTATAGCTGACACCCTTTGTCACTGAAGTATGCTATTTTCTGTCTGGTTAAATCCATCATAATTAGGTCCATAAAAGGAATGAAGCCCAGTCAACAGAAGAGGAAGGCAAAATTTCATACCAAATATGATGCCATTTCTGTTCATACCTTTCTTCAAGTGTAGCTTATGTCTGTCCTTTCCATACATGGCTACAAGAACAGAAATAACTTGAACCTTTCCTGTTAGAAGGGTAATTGTTTCTGTGGTATTCACGAATGATGCTTTGTAAAAAAAGATTATTTTTTGGAGTTCTGTAATGACTTATTAATGTTGAATCACTAGATATTTATTTCATAATTTGTAAGTACAAATCTAGTCTCATTTAATCTTCTTAAACAGTATAAAACAAAAAGTACCATTTTTAGTCAATCAGTAGCCCACATATGAAAAAAAACCCAACCCTGGATTCTATCCCTTCCCTCCAGCATAGCAATTGAACCAGACAGCTTAGTGTCACCACAAACTTGTTGAGTGCCATCAATACTACTGTCCATGTCAATGACAAAGATGTTGAACTGAACACGATTAAACATAATATTGGCAGTACACTTAATCAATGCACTTATTCAAAATGTTGCAGATGTGTTTGCATTCCCTAACAATTCTAGTTTTTCCATACAGTTCCAGCTAGAAAACATACTGGCAATCTTCATTAGTTTTAACACTAGTCAGGGAACTTCTTATTGAAATGTTGATTTACAGAAGTGTAAAGTCATTGGAGTTTCTTAAGAGTGCATTGAGATATTTGCTTGCACATGTATTTGAAAACAAGCGGAATGCACAGCAACAGCTTAGACATATGAAGGTTTCCAGTATTGAAGCTCACTGTTTCAGTGGAAGGTTCCTAAAAATTCTGCTATCAGTATTGAAGTTAGAAAAAAAGAATTCATATTCCAAGTGAAAGCTCAGATGGAGGTGAAAGCCAAGAAAAATCCTTTCCTTTTCATGCATCATCACCACCCATAAATATGCTGTAAAGTCAGTTAGACCCTAAGCTCCACTTGTAGAAATTCATTCTGCAGTGAGGTGGCATAACTATAATTAAGGACAGAAACGACTTCACAATTTGTAATCCAATTGAGGTCCTCAATGGCTATAAATCATCAGGTATTACAGACTTCAGTGGAGCTTTTCTATTTATTCTTAGTACCTGCCACACAGTTCATAAGCCTGCCAAAACTTGCTCAGAGGAAAGAAAACCTGGCTCAGTTTCTCATGGGCTCTTACAGTTAAAAAGTGTATTGTTTTGTCCTTCAAGTAAAGAGATGAGACCTGGAGCACAAAGCAGAGTAAGCAGCTGAGTAGCAAGGTGACATTTAAACA